TTTATTTTATTGATGCCCTATTATCTCTTAAGTCTGTCCTTGAGCCCCGGGTTGCACCGGGCTCTCTGACTTCCCAGGGACTGTCAGCTCCGCGGGCGATGCCCCCGGAGATGCCGCGCCGTGAAGTCCCAGGAGCTGCGTGAGGCACCTTTCCCGCTGCCCGGCACGGCGGCTCACGAGACGGGAAAGCCGAGAGAGCGACCCGGGGAGGGAGGAATGTAATTCGGAGTATTTGCAGATACTGCAGGTCGTCTTCATAAACCCCGAGCACACAAGGCGGGCCGGAGGAGGAAGCGTAATGGCTCTGGGTTTGGGAGACGATTCAAGCCGTCTGCCAATTTTCCCCATGACTCAGCTGAGTAGCATTTTTGTTGTGGTTGCCCGCGGGTGAATTTGACTCATAAGCGCTATTATTTGTCCCTGGAGTTAATTATAGGCCCAAATTACCTGTGCTCTTAATGGAACTCGGTCCTGGCGTGTATAAGATGCATGTTTTCGGCCTGTCGCATCAGACATGCTGCAGAGAGCGGCAGTAATGCTAGGGCTTAAAGCAGAAAATTCAGATTTAGAGCTGGACGCGCTGGGTTTGGCTGACGGTTGGATCTGATTTTCGCCTGTGCTCATCTTTAGCTAATGAGGATAATTTTATTGCATGGGCATAATTACTGTTTATTCATTCTCAGCCTGAAAGTTACAATAGTTCCTTGTTTCTATGCGTCGCACAGATAATCATCCTGGTCTTTCAGGTTTGTCGCTGTGAGAAAGCCTGTTTGCGCTGCACCTCCTGGTGCTCGCATGATAAAACGCTAAATACGTGGCCTCTCCAGCACGACATGCAGAGTCATCTCGGTGAAAAGGGGTTGTTGTCTTCATAGGGCTTGCACAACAAGCAGTAAAGGGAAGCAGTCTGCTTTTCTGCAAATGCACGACCAACAGCCGGGAGCCAGCGGGGAGGCTGCGGCTGGAGCTCACGCTGGTGATCCCTTTTTTTCCCGCGTGCGGCAGCGCCGGGGCTGAATCCCACAAGCCCGGGGTGTCCCTTGGCTGCTCTTCGGGGGAAAACGCGCAGCCCTTTACACGGAAGCCACGGAAGCCGAGGTGCGCGGCTGCCCGGGCGCTGATGGAGAAGCTGGTGGAAACGCTGCCGCCGCTGCGAGCTGGGCGCGAGAAAGTCTGCTTTTGTGGTGCTTTTGCGATGCTCCGGGTTCACGGTTCCCACTGGCCTGCAGGATTTGGGGTTGGTTTGGGTCTGGGTTTTTTTTTCTCTTTGAGACAAGCTATTAATTTACCTGGTGTCACAGGGTCCTCTTTCTCCCCCCAGCTGTGGTGCAGAGCTGAGGTTTCCAGATGCCGTGCTCTCACGTAACCTTTGACGTAGGATTCACCCTTTGTTCTCCCAAGAACAAAAGGGCAGGACAAAAAGGTATTATGAGATAAAACAACAATATTCTGCAGGAAGATTGACCCCCCGCTGCTTAATCTGCAGCAAAGTCGGCCTACAGCTGGCTGCTGCTGGCAAACCCCATCATCCCGTTCCACGCCATGGGGCTGGCTGAAGGCTGTGCGGGTCTGAGCTCTGTTACAGGGATCCTCCAGACCTCAAACGTCTTTATCTTAATGAAAAAGAGCTGGAGAAGGGATTGTTAAAATGAACTTTCCACCTAATACAACCCCATGTAATTTTTTTTTTGTTTTGTTTTTAAAGCAAGCTGGGCATTTTAGTCCTGCAGGCATCTGACAATTCGAAATGTTTTAGTCAGGGTCAAATTTTAAATATTAAAGACGCCTTCTGAAGTCTCTTGGTGTCTGAAAGCACAAAGCAAGGCTTGCTGGCATTCCTTCAGCATACTTGTTCATTAATCAGTCATGTTTGGGCATCCTCTGCCCGCTCGCAAATTCCTTCAGATACAGCACCGAGCACAAAATTAATTCTCGGGAGATTCCCACCAGAAAGCGTATTGCTTGCTGCTGGGATAAGTGCGTGCTTCAAGTTAGTCATGTGTTTTTGTCCTTGGTGGAACTGGGGCTTGCAGTATTGGCCAACAGAGCAGGAGCCGGGACGGTCACCCGTGAGGTAGCATTTAGTCACATCGTCCCTACAGCAAATGGCTGGGCTGGACCCGGGCTTGCAAAGCAACCCTGGGCTCGGAGCTCGTTGTTCAGGCTCCTGAGCAAATAATGATAAATCTTCCCTTGTGGATGAACTTAACGACATGAAATAAACAACAACAGAGCGCTCAAGTCATACGTGCCCTTACTTATAACAGAGTTTGACAGCATGGATTGGTGATTGGGTTTGCGTTGTTTAGTAGGGTTTAAAGAGCACACGAGCTGCCAGACTAGTTGCATTTGCATTGGCTAAGAGTTTTTTAGCCATTGTTTTAAGTTCATAACCTGTCCTGTGCCCTCATGGATTATTATCTGAGGAAAATGTAACAGTAGATGACCACAGATACACCCAGCCCAAAACAAAAACCCAGCTGCTGATGGCTTGGTAACCACTGGAAATAATATGTTAGCTTTCAGCGTGTTAGACCTGCCATTGCAATAGGTCATGGAGGCGTAAGGCCATCAGTGCATGAGTTACCAGTGCAACGGGAGTGTGAATCACCTGTAGAAATACAGGGGCTTTACTGGAAAGTTGGAAAAACTCTGCTAAGGCAAGATCCAGCCAAGGCTTAATCCAGGGAACCACTGAACAGCAAACCGCTGTCCTACTGCTATAGGATCCGAGTTGTCCTTCCGCTTTCTCGGTGCTTTTACATATTATTTCAGTGTCTAACGCTACGAAACTGCCTGTTAAAGCAGTTTTGTGGAAGGTGGGGTTTCTGAACAAAGTAGTTGTCTTTTTTTTAAGGTCATGGGTTTAGTTGATAAGACAATAGCGTTGGTGCAAAGTACTGGGATTCACCAAGGCATTCCACTAAGTATTGTGTGACACTTGGATTTAAAATTAGCATTAAATGGAATGAATAAGGCATACATTTGATGGCAATATTAGATAAGGCAGGCACTGGTCTTTGAAGTTTGTTAATGAGCTGGTTGTTAATGGGAAGATGTAAATTACTGAGAGCATTTCCAGCAGGAACCCAAGGAGCTGATGATTCATTCATCGTTTAATATTGTTGACTCTAATCTGGCCAATAATATATGACATCTGTCCCGGTAAAGTACACAGATGACACAACGTCTGCTTGTGTGTAAGAGGAGTCTCCTCACTGAGGAAACTTTGCTGTGGTTGGTTTCCTACAGATTTATGTCTTGAGCTTGTCTGACTGTCAAGTGTGAGAGCTAGCCACTCATAACCAGGCTTTTCCTGTGGCTACAGCATCAAGAAGGCACCTTCGCATGGGGATTCCCTCATGCTTTGTCCATTTGAAGTGGACATTTAATGTTGTTACTGTGGCCACAGAAACAATATTTCCAGGCTTTCCCCCCTTTGCCTGGCTGCTTATTTAATGACACCTGTAAGAAATTAGTCATCCTTCAGGCTCTTCTCTTTGCCAAGAGGTTGGATTGATGGGGTAGTGTTGGGTTATGAAGGGAGAGGACCACACAGATGCAGAGGGACAGCGTGCTCCTGGGAGCGAAGAGCCAATGTGGCTGGGATGGGCACAGGAGGCTGATCCCGTTCCTGCGCCTCCTCATCCAAAAGGATGCGAGAGGCTCACGGCAGCTCAAAGAAGGATTACAGAAATCATGAAGGAGCTGGTAAACACGGTTAATGGTGGTTCTTAACGGGGTTTAAAAACTCAACATGTTGCACTTGGCAAAAGGAAGGTCACGAAACGATTCACCTGTTGCGTACAGGTAGCTACAGCTCATCAAGGACTCGACAAGCTTGGGTAGTTATATGGTGGTCCAACTCAACCTGGAAGGAAAGCATTAATGAAGGCGCTCGGGCCAGCTTTCCAGGGGACGTTGTGGATGAGATTGTTTTGCAGAGAGGTAATATAGGAAGCAGGGGGGCTACCTCAGGACAGAGCTAAATGTTTGTGGGTTGCCACTCCTCCTTACTCTTCCATGGTATCTGTAAATTTAGCATGTGCCATCTGGTTCAGCATCTTCAGCCATGAGTTGCTGGGAAGAGCAGAGAAGCCTGCACTGCCCCAGCACGCTTTAAAAGGCAGGTCTTCGTTAAGGCTGTATGCTCCAAGAGCTTATCCTGCAATGTTCATGGAGGATATCACCATGGATGGATTCAGAGAGTGGGCTGCCGCTTTTGCATGTGCTCCGGAAGCCACCTCCCATCTTTACCCCAGCAAGAGCTAGCAGGATCTGCTTTCTGTCTAGGAAAAGAGGAGAAAAAACCGAGGATAAATCTACATTGAGCTATTCTGGAAGGAGTCACAAATAGGCGAAGCGTTTTTGTTATGTTAGAAGCATAGTCACAGCTCCTTCTGACAGTCTGTTTAATTTGTGTGATGTGTTTGCAAAACTTCTGAGCCTTGTAGCTGGGGGTGAAATTATTGCGGCTGGTTCCCGAGAGGGTCCAAGGAGGGGGGCGTGCAGGGCAGGGCTCTTGTGTTCATCTGCCCTCTCTGGGAGCACCACTGCCTGTCCATACTCCCCTTCCCAGCTCTCCTCGCCCACGCTCACCCTGAACGCTTTCCAGGGCAGGGCAGGAGCGCACCCAAGTTCCAGCCCATCGCAGGAAAGCTGCACTGCCATGAGATTGCTTATCGACCTTAAGCCTTGCACAGCCTCTTGAAACCTAAGGCTTATACCCTTATGCACGAGAAAGCTCTGTCTGCTCCCCATTGCCGGAGGGAATCGGCCCTATAGGCTTGGTAGTAAGTCACAGCCATCAGGGGCACGGTTGTGATGAAACCAGGTGGGGAATAGTTCTGAGCTGACTGTGCCGTGTTTTTGCTTCCAGGAGAGAGTTCTCTGAGCTGCTGGAGAAGTTTGGCTCCCAAAGCAATACGGGCTCGGCGCGGAGCTCGCCGATCCTGCACGGTGGCAGTGAGTAGCTGAGAAACTTTTCTTCACCCCAGCATTATTTTGAAGGCGTTTTGATTTGATTTGTGTAGGTGTTTGGGTGGAGGTTTGAAGGAAGGGAAGCCCTGCTCGTCCTTACTGCAAGCACTTAGTGCCTCCCTGGGTGCAGAGCAGAAGGCACGGCCAGTCCTGCCTGCACAGGGCAAGCACAAAGCGGGGCAGCGAGCCAGCCTCCTCGGGGTGAGCAAGGGAGAATTGAGTTGGGGCCGTGACTGCTCCCCAGATCCCCAGACTCCGCTTAACTGACGTGCTGGGCAGGTAACCCCAGCAGTACCTGTCTCTGCAGGTGCAACTTTCGATTTCAGATCTGTTCAGCAATTGTTCATTCGCTGATCAGTATTTTTCATTCGCAAAGGGGAAACGTTTAGTGAGATGCAACAAGGCTAACCTTGTTAGGGTAGCACCAAGGCTAAGCCGGGTGCCAGTGCATCACGTGTGCATGGGGGAAGAAGCTGTCCCTCTGGCTTGGCGTCCCACCAGAAGGCTGCCAACCCTTCCCCTATGGCAGAGGTATGTAGGGCTGGCAGAGGGGGGAGAGTCCCATGCTGGAATTGTGCCGAGTAGGCTGAACGTTTCCTCTCCATGAGCGATATACTGAAGTCTTTAACTACCACGTGGCTTTCCCCAGAAAGCTAGGAAAACGGTGTCAGCTCTCAGCGGTAGAGCAGGGGAGGAGGCTGATGGTGGAGTATTTGTGTTCCCTGGACTGACTCTGACTTTGCTGTTCAGGTCGATACCTGGAAAGTACATCCTCGGGCTCCTCCTCTCAGAGCCCGCTCCTGCTGAGCCCGGCCAATTCCCACAGCCCCTTCGTTGGGAACCCGGCGCACCCCTCTCACGCACAGTACGTATGGGTCGCGCGGGGCCGGCCCCGCAATCCCTGTCCCTTGGTCAGTTGTGAAGGTACCGGCCGAATGCCTGACGCTGGCTTAGGGATAGATCCAGTAAATACTTCCAGTGTCTGAAGAACTGCTTTGTTCACCTTTATGCCTTCTATACCATTGTATCATGGCTAGGAGACCACAGGGTCTTCTAGAAGTCCTTGTCATGGTGGCATCTTGACTGTTCCCGGGAAGCCTGTCCCCAGGAGCTGACAAGCTTCCCCATTGAGGCAGCCAGTATGTTTACAAGGCAACCGCTCCTCTTCCTCCCCTCTGAAAGCCGGGGAGGACCCATGGCTCACAGCCCGCTGAGAGGACCCCGCACATCACCTTTACAAAGCGTGTCGTGAGCGGAGTGTTTCTGCGAGGCCAGTGGTGCTTCTGGAAGGTGTTTCAGGAGCTTGTTTTCTATTGCCCTGGTTCTGGCATGTTGACGTCGTGCGACAAGAGCACAAGCGCTGCCTTCTCAACGCAAACACTCCCGACGCCCTTTGCTTTGGTGTCAGCAGGGGTTGCCTACGGACACTGCATCCTTTTGTCTCCAGAGCACGTCCTGGAGCATGCGTTTTCATGTGGTCATCTGTCCCTTTCATATTTCGCAGGGTCAGAGGTTTGGACAGGCAGAGCTTGTTTTTCTGCGGAGTCTGGTCTCCAGGGTGCTCAGGGTTGCCCTTCTCAAGAAGGACAGCTCGAAGTGTGTTAACAGTCGTGGAATTGGGACCATTTGTCCCCAGGGCTTGCAGCCTCCCTTCCTTTGCCAGCATAAACAAGCCAAGTCGCTGGTAAAGAGAATCAGACCTGACTGCAGAACCAGTAAATCCTCTTGCTAAATACCAGCTCTTTATTAGGGATTTGCAGAGGACAAATATTTGGCACCAGAGGTTTACACTGCTTCCATGGAGTGAGAGACCCTTGCGGAGGAGAGGCCAGCTCATCGACTTGGCAGCTGGTTTGGACAAACTAGACATCCTTGCTCTGCTGTTAACCCACTCCAGGCTGCGATATATGCTAGAGGGGACCTGGCTTGGTGGCATCCTCGCTCAGCGCTGCCATGATGTGCCGTGTTCTGCCTGTCTCCGTGCCACTGCCAGGCCCCCGTGGTCTCCTCCCGGGAGCAGCACGAGCCGTTTGAAAGCACAGACTGTGCGGAGCCTTGGTGGGTTGGCTGCGGAGATGTAGCTCAGGCCATGTGCAGCAGGTCCTTCTCACGCAGACGGCTGCCATCCCTTACCCATCCTTTCCTCTCACTGAAGGTCATCCCCAGGCTATGACCTGCAGGGTCATCTGTGGTCCTGCCACCCCACTGGTGGGGACCAACAGGACCCAGATACGATTTGGTCTCACCACATATAGTGTCTGATGTTTCGATTTGAACAGATTTTCATTTCCGTGCTACACTTCGTGACATCGTTTTCCTAAAATGTTTCTTAAAGCAACGCTTTTTCGTAAGACCGAGGTGCACGCTGCACGACCACAGTCCCTTGCGCCCGCGTAGCCAGCTGGCTCTCCTGGGGGTCTGCTGCCGATTTGGAGGGGTGCTGGCCACACGCTGCTCTGTCACTGGAGTGTCTGACCACTGGGGCCGGCATCGCTGCGGTGGCATCGGTTCTGCGCTGGTGCCACTGCGAGGCGTGGGATACACAGCTGTCATTGCGTCTTAAGTTGTCAGATAACACAAGGAGGACCAGAAACTGCAGACCATTTGGTGAGCGGCTGCTGTGGAAATAAACTGAAAAGAAGAGCCAGCTGCACCCAGCCCGTAAGGAGGAAGAGGCTTGCTGACCCTTAGGTCCCACCGCATCCTCCCCCACAACCGCCCTGCTGCGATGCCGCTCACCGGCCCGTGGGTGCTCAGTGAAATCCCTGCTCCCACAAACACTTACTGCAGTCGCTATCTCTTCCCTCCCCACACGGAGCCGCCTGCTATGGCCTGTCGGGTCCTGCCTAGCAGGTAGGTCTTCCAGGGTAGGGTCCAACCTTGTTACCGCTCCATTTGCAGCACCTCCTTGACTGGGCAAGTCGTCTGTACCACTGCCACGGAAGTAAATCACAGTGCGGTGGGTATTGCTATCAAGGTGCCTAAAGGCTCAATCCTCAGGGCATCTTGCAGGGTTTTGAGTCCAAACCTTGGTTAAGACGTAGTCAGCTGTGTATCCTGAGCTTCACTTTGACGTTTGCTAAGGGCTGCTTAATAGTTGACCGATCTGTAAGTTGTTGTCTGCTGATTTAGGCCAGAGCTGCTGGATTGAAACAATAACCACATCGATCCTTCGTATGCTTTTGGCTATAAAAACCAAGAGTGCCAAATATATTCTGATTAAACCTTTAGTTTCTTCTGTCTTTATTTTCTAAATGCAAATGAATGTTCCCCAGCATTTGGGATCATGTCAACCAGTCATCTTCATACTGATGAGCAATGTCTGCTGAGCAACTGGAGTCCTCACCTCTTCTTTCCAAGGTTGGGTGGAAGAAAAGGTGCAGAGGCAGAAAAGGTTGGGAGAAGTTAGAAGGATCATGCACAGAAAGCAAGCCAGGCAAAGTTTGTTCAGCGACATGGGAAAATAAACCAGATCACCTTCAGTCACCTGCTAACATCTCTCCCTTGCAGCTACTCCATTGACTCAGGAATCCAGAGCATTTCTATAGCAAAATCCTCCGGCTTAGGGCTGACAATCAGTGGTGGATCTAACAGGCCTGATGGCCCCATGATTTATGTTCAAGAGCTTGTGCCAGATGGTGACTGTTACAAGGTAAGTCAGCGTGGAGACTATCAGTGACTTTGCAATGGGGACCCCTCCTAGAAGCTGTAGCTGTTCTGAAGCAGCTTTTCTAAGAATAGATGAATAATGCATTGCATGGACTAATGAGGATTTGTGTTGCAGGAGGCGGCTTTGGGCAGAGGGACATTCCTTCCCAGAAACTCCTGACTTTCTCCTCTTTGTTTAGGATGGTCGGCTCCGACCTGGTGACCAACTAATCGCTATCAATAAAGATTCTTTGGTGGGCAGCACACAAGAAGAGGCCAGAAAAATAATTGCAAAAGCCAAATTCAGGTAGGCCTGTCGCATATTTCCCGTCATCATCACGGTGTTGTTGGATCTTGGGCAAAACCCCTTCATGTCATCCCAATGTTTGGCTTCAAGAAGCATAAGGATTATGAGTCTTAAATGATGCTTCAAAATGGTCTTGGTAGGTGATCGTATAAGGAAATCTTGACTGCATGGATCATCCTGAAGTGTAATCCAGACCTTCCAAATGTTCTGTCCCTCAGGAATACCCCTTATCACTGCCCCCTGCAGACTTCTGCAACAGAACTGAAGTTCAAACAAGCAATCCAGCTGGTGGAGATCCAGCTACACTGGTGCAGGCTACAGGGGCTTAAGTGAGATTATCCCAGAGAAATAACCATGGGCATGGAAGTTCTGCAAATTTAAGTTGTGCTTTTTTGTTGTTGTTGTTGTTGTTGTTGTTGTTAATAAAATGTTCTGTGTTTGTTGTTTGTTTAAGACACGAGGGAAACACAGAAGTGGCCTTTATTCCTGGAAGGGGACGGTTACATCCTGGACTGTTACTTCATAACAACAACCCATTGCCACCTCCAAAGGCTGTGGGGAACGGTCTGAGTTCCTGCAGACTGAAGGTCCATGTGAGGTCCCCAGAGGTAGGCTGAAGGTCGTATCTAAGACCACAGACATCGGTCCTGCGATCTTTCTTTGATCAGAAAACTCTTCTTCAGGGACTCCATGGTAGTCCTTCCGGACCGTGGAAGGTCTGAAATGCTGATGTATGTAGCCCTGTTTTACAGCCAGGTATTTTAAATCTGAAATATTGTTTCTTCTGTCTTGGGTTTGAGACGGCAAAGGATCTCTGGAGGTAATGAGAGGAGTTTCATCTCCAGGGCCTGCATTCAGACCTGTTTCAGAAGTCTCGGGTTTAAAACAAACCCTTCTACGGATGGCAACCTGCATCTCATTCAACACCAGTCATAGGGCTGGAAGGGATCTCAGGAGTTGGTTTGATCTAGTCTCCTACCCAAAGGCAGGAACAACTCTTTGTTCTTAAAGACCTCTGACAAGGATGAATCTGCAGCGTTCCTAAGCAGCCCGTTTCTGCTCTTCACTAGCCTAATGATAAGTCAGGCTCATTCTTCCTGTGAAGCCTAGCTCCATGTTGTGTTTGCAGAGTCAAGCGCTCAAGCTATGCGTGGTGAGACAGGGTTTAACCACACATCCCTCATGGTAATTTAGGCCCATGGCTGGATTCTCTGCATTTGTCGCTCCTCTCCTGGACTGGTGCAATGCCTGGAGTATCTTCTGCCCTCTTCCTCATAAACTTCCTTTAGAAAAGGCCGGCTGGAGGTTCCTTTCATACAAACATCATTCACAAAAGGTCCTTCTTTTCAGACACTGCAGGGAGACAGACTTTCAAGAATGCCACACACAGGTTGCCTTTGGGTGTACCAGGCTGGAGACATGCTTATGGAAGTCAGCCTTAGCCCATATCCATGTACCCGAGTAGTACGCTTAGATCCCTCATCACCCAGCAGAAGGTGTGCTTGTGTGATGTTGTGCACCTATATGAAATTACACTGCTGGCTGGAATTAAATTGTGCTTTTCCTGACTTTGCTGCTAAAAGATGGAACTTCTAATGAGGTCTGTGCTTCCACGCTAGTGAAAGCGTGCTCAGGCGCCCATGCTACCGGTCTGTATGTCCTCAGCACCAGTTCTGCGCCCCTCTCTGCATCTAAGTTCCCATGAGTGGAAGCACTGTCACGGTGGTGCTCAGTGTGTCTACCTCTATTTTTCCCTCTTACCTGTGCTTTCACCCGTGATCTGGCACTTAAGAAAGGGTGGGCGCTGGTCTCGGCTTCCTGTCATGCTCACTGTGATAATTTTGTGATTTGGGTAAATAACGCAACTGGCTGCGGTCAGACTCAGGACCTCACTAGTGTGTTGGATGCAGAGCTTTAGGGAGAACCTCTACGGAGAAAGCACGCAAGGTCAAATTCATCCTCAGCTCTCAATTACAGTAGCGGCAAACTCGGTTTTCTGTGTGTGACCAGAGATTTTGAGATGGCTCAGGAATGTGCCTGTGCCAAATGCTCCCAGAGAAACCCCTGGAGCCTCTTTTGGCCCATCTGCACGGGAGGTGTGCATGGTGCCTTTGCTCTTTATGGGCCAGATGGGTTGCGCTCTCTTGAACTCCTCTGCCTTCTGCTCTTTATTTACTCCAGTGGATTCTGCTTAGCGACTGTCTGTGCCGTTTTGTCTTCTTTTTCTAGAATAGACGTGAAAATCATTTTCCTGTGCCTTCTTTGTCACCGGACATTTGCCCACCAGAGCTTACTGTCTCAGGTAAGAGTCCTGCTAGCTTGTTTTCTTTGTGTGGGTGATGAACATAACCTTAGCTCCTCAGAGCTGAGAATGATGAAATTAATTTTGATCAGTGTTTATGCTGCTGTAGTGGGATCTAATGGTGTGGTAATAAGACTCAGCTAGGAGAGAGGGAAGGTGGCAGCTTGGCGTACTCAGTGGGTAGTAATTATGTCCACGTTAGTCCATAACAGCAAAACTCTCTACTAAGGCATTCAGAGGACTAAGGCATTCATAGGAGACGACTTCGTCCGTTCTCAGCCTGTGTTTCTTTTGCAGCAGTGTCTTTGCCCACATGCAAAGATCGTGTCAGACTTGCATCCAGCAGGTCCCATGGCAGGCAACGTTCCCTTCTGATGGGAATGGGTGGTCCTCGGAGAGGCAGTATAAAAAGGTCAATTAATGATAGTTGTAACGTACATGGCAACCCTGGGCATTATACAGGCATTAAGGATGCCCTCAGTCGGTCAAATCGGGAAACTGCCTATAGGTGTGATTAAGTCACGTTTCTCTCTACATCCAAGCTTCGCTTTTTGCTCACTTTTCTACGGTGTGTTTTCTCTCCATGCTCTGGGTCCCGTACTGAGCTCTTAACTTTTGTGGGAGAGACCTACTCTGTTCACCTGATAGGATGGCAGCAACGGGGGGGGTGAACTCAAATCGCCCTGCAGCTTCACAGGTCCCTTAGGAATCACAGAAAACCTCAATAACCCCCATGATCCAGTGTCCAGGAAGATGACCTCCAGCAAGGTTGCCCCATAACCCTGTGATACGAAGGTTACTTCTGCCTGGAGGAAAAGATGGGCTTTCCCTAGCGAGTCCTGAGCAAGCGCAGCCCGTCGTTCTCGCACCTCTTAGGTGGCCACCGCCGACAGCCAGAGCTCCCGGTAATGTGGAGCAAAGCCCTGGGTCATGTAGGCAATCCAGCAAATAGCAATGACCTAATCGCTTCCTGACTTAGCTAGGGGATTTCATTACACACGGATTTTTAACGTGAAATGCTGAGGAGGCTTTGTGTCAGTGTTGTCATCCATGAAAACAGACAACTGGCTTTGAAAGGGCAGCGGCCAGGCTTGGAGCCTGGGCCAGAACTGCCTCTCTGTGGGTGCCTGTCGGATGCCCTGGATATCTCCGTGTCCAGAGCTAACGGCAGAGCCACGTGGAGCTAATCCTGATTAGCCATGCGTCGAAGGGTAACAGCTCTGCCCTTGAACTTGGAGAGTAAAGGGTTGGTGGCCGATCCAGCAAACCCATTTATTACCTCTTGCTGCTTCCCAGTCGCTGGCGTTAGCAGTGGACAAATACTCGGATCAGGAGGATTACGCTCATGCGGCACCTCCACCGCTTCTTGCTGCCTTCTCCTTGCCCCCGGTCTCTGCCCCGACGGTCGAGGCGGGTGCGGTGAGAAATGCTCGAGAGGTTCAGGAGGAGCAGCAAACGGGGCTTCCCATGACGTTAATCAGATCCCAGGCAGGTGGAAGGAGCTGCTCCCTGGGCAAATCCTGTGCCGCCGGCACGAGAAGGAATTTTATCACCGACCTGGCCTGATGGCGGGGGCGGACGGGCAGGCAGGCAGGCAGGCAGGCAGCAGGGCTGCAGGCAGCGCAGTCCTGCACCTTTCTGGGGTTTGGCAGGGGAGCTCCCGTGCGAGTAACGCCTTCCGCAGCCCTTTTCCCAGGGAATGTCACGGTTTCTTCCGGACAAGGGTTAATCATAGCGGAAAGGTGCTCCAGGGACGGGGGAGCACCGGCAGCAGGGGTGGCAGCAGGGCTTGCGCTCCGTACCATTCCGGCTGTGAAGGCAGTGCCGGTAACGAGGAGATCTCTTCTGATCTCATGACAGCTTTTCACCAGCAAAGTAGCTGCCGTTTCTGCTTCTTTCTCCCTCTGTGTCTGCCTCACGACGCATGTGCCTCCTTTTATCCAAAACCACCTGCCTGCCCAACCAAGGGAAAAGGGTTCAAGGCTTTTTGCAGTCCGGGGGAGGAGAAGTCTTGCACCGGTGCTTTTCCACATCGCTTTTAATCTGCCGATTCCCTTTTAGAATTAGAGAAGACAAGACCCAGGCAGATTGCTTTTTATTTTTATTTTTCCCACAGGTCACCATAACTACAGACCTCAAGACGCCACAAAAATCTGTAATTGGAAATTTCCAAAGTGCTATTTTTGCAGTTCCAGGTCCTTGGATGAAACTTCCCATTTTAAACCATGCAGAAGCCCAGTTTCAGTAAGGGTTTGCCCCGGTATCCAGTCTTTTCAATGGTGGCCTAGTTCAGCCTTCCAGGACCGGATTTAGTAAATCCTGGTCTTTGATTTTTGGCCTGCTGCACACACATTATATTTCATGCAACAAGGGTTCTGAATTTTGCTTTGCAGGCATCTCTTCCCTCTACCCAAGTGCTCTTCTATTAACATTTATTTTTGGCTTTTCAGCGCCCGCTTCGGCGTCTAATCATAAGGCATCTTCAGGCACCAAACCAAAAGTAGCGCTGGATCCTCATATCCGGCTCAAGGATGGGAAACTGGAACTGGTGAGTGGAACGGGTCCCTCTCCCCAACGCAAGGTCTCCTCTCAATCCTCTCCCAGGGTGTGCTATGCAGAAAATAGTCCACTGGTGTGATACCTCCTTGCTTCCAGCTGCCACGTTATTGGCAAACAAAATAAGCTTACGAGAACGGTCTCCTTGTATTGCTTTTCTGTGAAAGAACTGATCGAGACCTTCCAGCTTTAATTCTTGCACCAGTGTTGCACTCGGGCACGTGAGGATTGGGCCAGGTACTAGCATGGGGGTCACTATGTTGCTTGGGTTTTGGATGGATTAAAAAATGCAAGCTTGAATAGAAATAGTCTGAGAGAGCCGTCCTGGCTGTTTGCACAACATAAAGCTGCAGCACTCGATCAGTGCTCTAATCTACACGTGCACCATCCTCCGCCGACCAGCCCGTTCCAGCCTCATTCCCCTTCGCCTCTCCAGGAGGCTGACCGGGCCGTGTTGGGAATAGCGGTAGCGCAGGCGATGTGGAATGCGGAGTCAGCCGCGGTACCCAGGACATTGCTTTCCTTATCAGTATCACACCGCTCGCACGTTACAATTACTTAATCTGATATTTGGGAGGGAGGCATAAGAGTTGGCCACCGAACAGTATTTATTATCAAGAGTCTCGGGGGAAAAATAAAAGTCTCGACTCTTCAGTCGAGTTTCCTGGAGGTTGGGGTCCAGCCTCTAAAGGTAAAAAGGGAGAAGAGGGCGTCGTGAAACATCCCAGTTGTGTCCGAAGGGGCGTTTAAACACACCTTGGCTCATCTCAATGCTCCGGGGAGTTGCATCTCCCTTGGGCGTAACGCATTTGTCTCAGGGCTGTAGGTGCAGGCAGCTGCCCTCCAAACTTGCCGGTGCTGCTGTCGCTGCTGGGGTGACCTCGGGCAGCCTGGTGTGGGCGAGGGAAGGCTGAAGTACGAGGTATCTCACCGAGGATCCAGGCAGAACCGCTGCTCCTTTCATCACTTTATGGAAAATATATTCCACGGGCACCATCAAAGGGCAGGGAGCGGAGCTGCCCGTTTGCTCACCGAGTCGCTGGTGAAGGGCAGAGTGCCCTTGGGGGGGCCCACGCTCCCCGTCCGGTTTTGGGGTGCATGTCCCCACCTTGGGTACCGCTGGCTTTGGAGGAGGGAGCGTGGCAAGGCAGCCCCTTCTGCGGGGCCGGGGGACTGCGAGGAGGACCCGGTGCAACGCGCCGCTGCTGCCACCCGACGGCAGATGCAGCGCTGGCCCTTTTGCTGCTCTCGCCTCCTGGTGGGGCAGCAGGCAAGCAGGAATTTTTCTTCTAAGCCCGCATAGTTCTCCTAAAGCAGCATTTTTTCTGCGACCTCCGCTCGTCACGGGTATAAAAGCGGCTCCTCTGCGGTGGGGGGAGTGGGGATGCTGGGCTTCCCCTTTTAAAAGCCAGTGTTACGAGCTCCAACGGTGCCAGGGTCAGGACACGCGCACCAACCGGCACAACCCGAGATGGTTTTGGGGTGGCCCACGCCAGGTGCCAACACCAGCACCCCAAAGCCCGGGCGCCTGCGGCACCGCCTCGCGCAGGGATGGCGGGCAGAGGGATGGGAGGTGGGACTCGAACGGGCTTCGCGGGCAGCGCGCGAGAGCGGACGGGTCCCGCGGGCTTGCTCAGCTCTGCTGAGCTCGACTTTGTCTTTTAAAAGCTCTTAGTTGCTGCTGGCAGCGGTGAAGTGGGGGTTGCACAGGTTTATTCGCTTCT